TTTGATGTTGAGCCAGATATACCTCTCATACGTCATCCCACAATCTTCATCCTTTGTTAACTAAAGTTTTGGTTTGGATTGTGAAAATCTCACTTGCTCAAGAAAAGTGTAAATCTTTATCAGAATTTCCTAAGGGGCTTTCCTAGCTGGCCTTTGGAGTTGATGGATGCTAATGTGCTTTTTTTCCATCAATATACAGTAAAAGGAATAATGTATTAGTGACCAATTCAACAATAGCGTGGGTGTTTGGTAAAATGTCAAGAACCTTCAAAAGAAATAAATCATACCCTATTATCCTTCAGCCCACAAAGTTAAAACAGCTTTTGCTTTCAATACAACAAGTGAACACTTAACTGCTCCCCACAGATTTCAGTGTTTGAAGCTGGCCACGTTTCAATAAAATGTTGTTTAAAGGAAGAAAATATTGAGAATATATATAGCCAGCTACAGTCAAGCAACCTGAATCCCATTTATCTGCTGGGAGGTAATAATTACAGACAGTCTGAAGTAAAATCCCAGATTTAAACACTCCTAAACTAATTCATTTTGAAAACCTGAGGCAACAGACAAAGCAACTTGTCTGCATCTGGGAGAGACTGAAGATTAGATGATGGGTTAAATGCTGCACACTGAGAACTCACACCAGCCGTGATGATACGGTCTGCACATCTGAGATCTGCAGTCCTGAGAAGATCTGGGATATAAGCTATTTAACCACGTCCACCTCTCTCTTATGCTTCAGCATGAGATCAGCTGAGGTGTTTTTATGGATGAAGACAGGCTGCAATTCTAAAGCAGGGACAAATGATGTTCTTCCAGCTTACACTAACTGTCTTGGCCAAGGGGAGAAGGCCCTGGGAGACAAAACAGAGAAAGACCTGGGAAGTCTATCATACTTTTTTTCTGAGGATAGTGATTTAATGGATAAAACTAATGAGAAATAAATAATGGCAGAAACTGCAAGTGGAAACCTGTCTACAACTCATTGGCAGTTAAGCTGTGAACATCCAAGTGATGTTCACTGTGTAGCACAGATGAGTTTGCAAACTTTTAAGCACTTCCTCGGTAAACAAGCTGAAACCAAGCACTCTGCACCCATTACAGACATATATGCACATCAGTCGCGGCTCTGCCTCTCGAAATAACAAATCTTGCACAGTATTGCTGTGGCAGAAGACGTTTCTGGCTTTCCCAAGGGGCATGTTACAAAGGAGCTCCAAATGTCTTTAATGAATAGCAAAGGTGCTTTATGTCTAAGAAACAGCTGTATAACAATGAAGGCTACAGCTAAGAACAAGGACAGTATGGCAAGGGCATAGACCAGTTGTGATTGCAGGGACCAATCTATTGGTGATAAGATATATATGGAAAAAACAAGAAAGATGAGCATGACTGACAAGAATTAGAAATTTTTCTTCCAGTGTTTGGCTTACCAGAGTGGTCAGCAGTGGAGCTGGGCTGGGATGACATACTGTTTAGTGAAATGGGACTTGGACGCACATGTACATGCATGTATAAATAAAAAAGGATGCACTCCGAATATACCTGACTTGTTTCACTAATTTCTCAACTCACTGGAAAACAAACAAGCGTGCAAGATCCTTAATGCAGCTACCCACTCACAGCAAAATAGGTAATAAGACACCAGAAATAGGCTCCTGGGAAGTAAAAGATCATTTTCTTATTGATCTAACAAGGGAAATCAAACTTTAACTGGATTTCTTATAAGCACAGAGTAGAACAATCTAATTATGAAAAGCCCGAACTGGGTACGTTTTTATTGTTGCTGAACTGTACAATGAGCATCATTTATAAGCCCTGGGGAAACTGGGGCACTGTTGTGTTAGCTTGGTGCTGCGCAAACACACGGGACAGTGCCTACAGCACAAATTCCTAACCTGTCCCTCACGATCTCTATGCAGTCTGCTTGGATAAATCATTCTGTTCACAGCCCCTTCCCAGCCCACATCTCTCCTGGCAGTGCAAACTTTATCTTGAGCATATAAAGCATATTTATGACTAGAATTTTATGTCCCTTGACTTGTCTAGACCATTTTCTCCAGGTCACAAGTAATGGCAGGTGGTTTGGGGAAAGGGTCCTGTAAAGAAACAAGCACTTCTTTGGATCCAAACACAGCTAAAGTTAAAGCATTTTGCATACATAGACTCCTTTCTGCTTAAATGAGTAGGTCATGTACTGTATTCCCTCTTTCTTAGCCTTCCTGTAGCAATACAAAGAGCTATCAATTCAGATGGTTGACTAGTGTGGATGAGATACAATAAGGGAGAGATGAGGCATGGAAAATACATAATTTCTCAGGAAATAAGCTAAAAACTAGACGGAAAGGAGTTTTACTTGGATTCTTCCATGACAAGGATATTATCCAGCCAACTGGATCTTAAGAATATCATAATCTGGAGAAAAAGTACAATAAAAAGAGAAGCTGAGCACAAGTAAGGTGGGAAGTGAAGACTGGAGAACACAAAACACGTTACGGCATCCCCTCCGTATTGTGATGAGAAGCCTGGCTAGCAAGGCTGTGAAAAAGCAGCTCTTAAACCCCTTTGTGACACAAACTGCTTTGTGAATCTGCTCATTCTGGCAGTAAATTAATGCATCCTGTACGACTGGATGGTCTGGGGCCTTACTTATTATTACTGCCCATCCACCAAAAATTGCTGTTGTAACAGAATCCTCCCTCCTGGCAGCGGGAGCATCGGCAGAGCTGTTGCTGGGGTCACTCTTTCAGTCATTGGTTCAACACCTCCATGGTATAGCAGGTTGTGAGCCATGGGACGATGTACCTGGAGACCCACAGGAAGCCCATGAGCCACACTGCTAAGCAGAGACATCCTCAGAGCAATTTGCAACAGCACATAAGATGTAGGTAGATTCCCCTGCTTGTCTCCCCTGCAGCCTAAACCTGCTTGTGCTGGCGTCAGAACAGGATAGAGCTTTAAGGTAAATTATGTTATGAACTGAGATGCAGTTTTGGAAGTGTGAGCCCTCTTCCACAGAATGTAAACACCGTGTGCAGTAGAAATAAGGTGCCTTGAATTTTATTCCTGTGTATTTTCCAGCAGAAAATACAGGATTAAACAGTATCATGAACAATCATGATGGAACAGGTGCTGAGAAAAAACGGTAACTCTGAATCTTACTTGGGTTTAAGAGACCCAAATGATAATCTGGATAATTTTATTGATGTGTCTGCAATTTCTATTTTATTTCTTTCGTATAATTGTCAAGTTCTAATTAACTCATAGCCAGTTTTGCCCTCTATCATTAAAGAGAGGAAGGGAACAAGAACAGTGAAAGGGGAGGAGAGATTATTTTTTTCTGTGAAAAATTCATGCTTGATTAAAATGAAGCAAACTGGAAGATTATGTGTGTGTTCGCGTAGCCATCACTTCTGCACAGAAGCACTCATATTGAGTGTCAAAAATGCCCACTGACTCCTCAGCATCAGAATCAGGGCTCTAATATTCCCTGCAGAATGACTTAACTCAGTGCTGGATCCCACAAACACATCGTCTGTGAACTCAAATATTGGTGCTCCCGGCTAATAGAAAGAGCTCACTTTTTCTCTTTTCTTTACCTATAACATCTTTATTGTTGCATTATCTATTTAAATATCTGAGTTCCACCATGTTTTTAACAACAAGAGTTTCTCCTTTCACCTCTCCCCAGCTAAACAGATGGTTAGACTTATCTAGCAATTAAAATCAAGGTTTATTTACCCATTCCACCGGAGCAAGGTTAGACCCAATGCCGTATCATGTAGTCTTAAAGATTTTGCTAATTTACTTTAATCCATTTAAACCTTTAAAGCATAGATAATGGGAAACAGACAAGAAACCTCTTACACTTTCCAAATTAAGAGACAAGAGTTTCCTCCTCTGTGAAAAACAGTAAAGCTTTCTAGAACAATCCTGAAAGGTCAGCAAGGAAGCCTTTGACGACTTTCTTCCTGGGAACCCTACCTCAAAGGTCACAAAACCACAACTAAATTGCCTTTAGCAAAGACCCTAACTGGAGACACATTGCAAGGTACTTAATTGCCTTTCGTGAAGAATGTAACTGGAGATGCATTGCAAAGCCTTAAATGGGAACCAAAATCAATATTTCAACATTTAGGAGGAAACCATTTTTAGCAAGGAGACTCAGCAGCTGATGATGCTGGCACACTCAGCTTAACACACCAGTCTGGGGTGAATTCAGAAATAGTGGTGGTACCAGTATAATGATCTAACTGCCGTGTGGGTAAGTGGACAGACTGGACAAACAGCAATTTAGGACCACATACTCATGAAAAATCCAACTTGGGTAAGGACAAGAACCGTGTTGCAACAGAACAGTAAAAGAATTACCTGTTGCAACTCAAAGGCCCCCTCTCACATTCTTAAGACCTTACCAAGTTAAATGTCCAGGTGAAAGACAGAAAAGCGACTAGCTGAGGTGATTTAAAAAACAAACAAACAAACAAAAAAAAAAACCAAAAAAACCCCAAATAAACAAACAAAAAAACCAAACCCCAAAAGCAACAAACAAAAAGGCAGCTACTCCCTGCAATTTTAAAGCTATTTACTTCTCTTGTATTCAAGTATGTCCAAATTCTCCATTGCTTTTCACTTCCTAAGTGTCTGGACCCAGCCAGCCAGGTGAGGCACATAAGCATTACTGAATCCAGTCAGAAAAAAGGAAACTGAAACCCAGTTTCAGTGCGGCAGAGCACAGGGAGCCTGTAGCAGAATTGAAGATGGAGTTTCTTAGACCAGTAGTCCTAAAACTGCCTGAATTAAGCGTCTGCTGTGCAACCTCAAGTTAAAACACTGCAAAGCATCAAAGGGAATGTGATTCTTCAGGCCACTGGCACTGGCCTGTGGAACACAGGTGTAAGGAACACAGCACAGACTAAACCATCATCCATGACAACACCAGGAAGGACTTCAAAATGGATCGTCCTACTGGGACTTGAAACAGGAATAGAGGCTCTTACCTTCAAAAGCAATTGTGGGGTGTTCTTTCCTGACACATTGCTGATGTTCAGCTTCAGAGTATTCAGGTACATTCTGTGATGCCGAGAGATGAAAAGCAAGAAGAAAAAGGCTTGGCAATGACAGGGAAATGGCCTTTAATCTTGAAACAACCATGACTGAAGGGCGGCTGCAGATCTAGCTTCCAAGGTAGGCCCAGGGAGGATACCTGAAATACAAATAATTTCACTTTCAGAAAGACAAATGCTTATCCAGAGTGTGTAACATTGGGAGAAAAGGGTGGAGGTTCCCCTTTCATCCCAATTCCACTTGTGCTAAGTACACAAAATAATATTCCACAAACAGCATCGGAAAAAAAATTGATCCAATTTACAACTGCATTGGGGCTTATAACTTCAAAGAGAAGGGAAGTGCACAGCTCCATAAATATATATCTCTGTGTACCTTTGGGGTATATGTACTTATACAGCAGCTGGTGTGCAATGGCCAGTGCTGACATGAAATCTCAGCTACTCCAGATGTGAATGTGTCCCCCAGTGTGGACACCTCACTCCTCGGTTTCATGACGTGTCCACATTTAAATGTCATGCTACATTCAAAAGATCGTTAAGGAAAGGCCTACATCAGTCATCACAAAAATACATATGCAATTAATACTGTTCTAATAGGAGATTTATACATTTTACCACTGCTGTTTTAAATGTCAATTTAAAAAGCCAATTTAAAGGTGTTGCCAGGAAAGTACTAATTAAGGTAACATAAAAATTAAAACAGCTTAATGGGGAGAATGGTGAGAAGTGAGTCAATTTCCTGCATCATGCTGGGATGCTATAGCTCCCAGTCACAAGAGCTGAGGTGCAGCTAAAGAGGAGGAGCACCCACTCGCAGGCTAGGAGAGGGCAAAGCCATGCCTTTTCTATGGGAGCACTTTTAACAACAGCAGCAGCAGAGATATACCTCTAAAAACTCCCCTGGGCCTACCAGGCCCAAGGCAGGGAATGGAGGATTAATTAGCCCATGCCACAAGCTTCCCAAGATGCTGCTGCAGCTTAGGAAAATCTGCATTGCCAAATTTAATCTTACTGATGTCCATGTTGCATTTTCCTATGTAACTTTTTTCAATTATTACAAACATATGTTTTCAAACAAATGGAGTCTCCTACCCTTAAATCTTATCTAGTGATAAAGCTGATTCTGATTAAAATCACACATAATGAGATTTTCCATTCCTGCAGGTGTAGTGATTCATAAAGGTAGTGTAACAGTCAACACCTGCAGAGCCCAATACCTCTATATTTTTGTTTGGAGTCTCCAAAACACCTTGAGTGGTCTGAAGTAGCCAGGCTGATAATATGAGGTGCTGATACACAATCACAGGCTCGTGGCATGGAGCAAACTCCAATATAGGGGACAATATTGCAACATCAAGGAGCTGGAAGAGGTTTGTAAAGGTCTTTGGGAATCACAGTAGCAATAAGAGACTGCTTCCAGCAGCAATGGGAGACAGCTGGTTTGAAAGAGGGATCCTATGCTTTATTCTTATCTCTATTTCTCTGTGATTTTAAAAACTGGTGTAAAGATGAGTTGCCAGCGCATCCATTATGCATGTCCTCAGCAGCAGCTACATACCATTGACTGAAAATAGCATTGGCATTAAGGCTTTGGGGTAGTTTTAGGGACTTGTTTTCCCAACTAGCATGAGTGAGAGATTACAGCATTTCACATTTTTTCCAGCCCCATGTACAGGCAGATTTTGTGCAGGGATGTATAAAATCTCCTTCCAGTTCTCCAAAGGAAGTTCTACAGCGCTTCACCATGCAGGTTGTTTGTTTTTTTTTTTTTTTTAAACACAGCAAATATCATGTTAAATTAAAAAATGAGACTGGCAGAAGTAAGAGATGTGAAATCATTCAAAGCTAAGGCCAGCACAGCGTTTAGTCATTAAGCACAAGCATACTGCAGGGCGTACACTGAGTACTGTGGCATCTTAGATGATGGAGATGTTATGCAAGCCATGCTGTAATGAAAATTATTGATGATGAAACATGAGATTATATTTTCAGCCATTGGTTTAAATGATCATTTTTTTCAGTGTGAATCCAGAAGTAAAACACAGCACAGAGATGTGAGCCCCAGGTACATGTATTTTGTATAGCTCTCAGATCCACTTAAAGTTCCAGAAGAAACAAAGCCAAACTTTCCTTAGATAGGAGATGGTTGTTGTGGGAAATGCACAAGAGGCAAAAGGAGTTCTTCACTGTCAGATATCCTTGCTGGGAACTGGAAGAGACAGTCATGGAAATCTCACTTCATGCATGCTCTACTCCTCTCAGTGCAGCCATTACTGGCTAATCCTAGAAATAAGATACTAAACTAGATAGATTTTAGTCTGACACAATGTAGCCATTTCATGTACTAAGCATCCAAACAATGATCCCAAGCTAGGTAAAAAAACTTCTTAAATCAATGACACACGGTAGAATCCCATGCTTCTCCATGGCCCTATGTGATCTACAATCAAATTCAAGTTTCACACTCATTAGGGGCATGATATGATAAAAAGTTGCATCCTGGAAGGCTTCATAATATCCCACAGCCTATTCTGTTCCAAAGCAGAGTACATTTACTAGTGTTTTGTCTGGACTAGTTGTAAAATGTGCCAAGTAGCTGGATTTCTGCCACTTTCCCTCGGAGATTTTACCACAGTCCAAGAGACTTCAGTGTTCCTTAGAAAGCTGTAACCAGTATTTGGGGTAAAGTTCCATCTTCTTTTTCCTTGTTGTCACAGGGAAATCCAAAGCGTGCATGAAAATAATGGCTTCAAACTTGATGTGAAGTGGAAGGTAATATATGACCAAAGATGAAAAAGAAACATTATAAAAAACTTGTATCCTTCCTTATGTTGCCTATTATCTCCTACATCCAATTACATCCATCAGATGTGTGGAGCTCTCCCGTGCTGGGAAGTTGAACAAAACCAGTGTCATGTGCAGCCCTGAACTGGTGTCTACTGGAGTCAGAGTCAATGGGTAAATGCCAGCTTGATCAAGGGCAAGAAGAGCCAGAGCCCTAGAGCACAGCTTTACAATATTCAGACAGTGGATAGCATTGCAAGAGGTTACTCCTTTAACCTGCCCCTTCCCAGGCTGCCTTGCTCTTTTTTTTCCTCAATATTTTAATAGAGACTCTAAGTCGGTAATTGCTATTCCCAGCTGCTGCAACCTTATTTCTGTAAAAAAACCCATACTCTGAGTATGAAGCACTGCCATGTGCAAGAGCAGGTCAACCATATGCCAAGAGCAAGCCAGTAACTGCCTGGGAGAGCCCAGCAGCTAGTTATGAAGTATAAATGTTTTAATTCTATTGGAGATGGCCAGACTCAAGCCTCCAATTTTGCCCAAGCTCCAGATTTTCACTGTGAGTGCTGAAGTATGACCAGTGCTTAGGACCAGCCCTCATCCAGACTGCTAAAACACTGCATGTCCTAAGCACAGCCCAGGCAAACCACGGTTTGCACTGCTGGAACTTGCCCTAGCGTTAAGCCATTTAGATACAGTTAAATGCCATAAAAAGAGCTGTTATTAGACTCTCTGCTCAAAATGGCTTAGGGCTCGAGAAATCAGCTGTCAAGGTTTCAGTGCAGATGAGAGACAAGAACTCAAATCCCTGGTTAAACTCAAATCTCAGACAGGACATATCATTTCAATTCTTTGTTTGCTCATCTTGATGTATTTTTACCACCTTAGCTATTCCCCACCACCACCCCCGCAATGCAGACATGTTAAAAAAAAAAAAAAAGATAAAAATGTCCAATAAGATTATCTGTCCAAGTTTATCAGTCCTCCCTCACAAAAGCTTGTCCTCTGTGCCTCTGCTCAGTCCCAAGTGGCAGTGACGGGGTGTCTCTCTCCCTCTCCTGCCCTGCACAGCAAATCCCTCTGGCCCTCTGCCAAAAAAAAAAAAGGCCAACGAATTCAGGCTCCATTGGATCCCGTGAAATATGCTCCAGAGAGAGGTATTTTGTAGAGCACCACTCCTGCCACCATCCCCTTGTCTCTTAAATCAGGCTCTCCCAGCTGATGGGCCTCCCTGCCTGTGGCGGCGGTGGCAGGGGATGGGCGAGGGGCTGCTCCTGCTGGATACCCCAGGAGTTCTGCACACTCAGGGTGAGGTTTGCACCCACAGCACCCACGTGAGCACAAACCCACGGCCGCAGGCCCATTCCTCACCCAGGCTGTGTCACGGCAGCTCCATAGGGACAGCCTGTTATAATTCTGCTTTGCCTCGTGGCTTCGCCCCCTCGCACAAGTGCAGCATTCAGGGGATCGCCCACCGTCCCTCCCTTACTCATTCTTGGGGCATGAGTCTTTTCCAACTCGCCCTGTATTGTATCATTGTAACTCCATTGATTCCGCAGGAACTAATCCTGATTTACAGAGGGTAACTCAGATCAGGCCCCCTTTGACTAAAGCTCCACGTCTAAAAGAAAAATACCTTCAATCAATCTTCAGGGCTTTAAAACAAAGCACACTTTAAAAATGGCTGTACCAGGAATTCATATCCTGCTTTCCTCTGACTGTAACTATCATTTTGACTTAATAAAACGTGACAGTAAAGTTTAAGGATAAAAGAAAATGCTTCATCTTTCATTTTAAAGAAAAGAGATGCCTTTAAAAAAGACCCAAAAAAGGAACCTCCTGTAAAAGCATTAATTCTTCTGTTTGGGATCTTTTGTGATTGGCCCAGTTATGGTTTTATTAGAATGGGATACCAGAGGGAGGAAGAGCAATGGAAAGAAGCGGACATTAAAGTATTCAAAAAAGTACTGGAAGAATAAGGGAAATAAATATAAACATTACAAAGCAAGACAGCTCAGCAATGCAGCTATGACAGGCTGGCACAGGCGGCTCTGCCCTAGAAAACTCCAAGGCCAACAAAACGCCGGTCCTTTATTCATCCGCCGCTCCTTGCCCTCCCCTCCCACCCTCACCAGCTGGAGCTCGTCCCACCGGCCTGGCTCCAAGGGCCATTTCACACTATCGAAGAAAAGGCACAGCTTTTCCCTCTGCCCCCGGCCACATCCCTACACCCAGCCCTCAGCCATGCCTGCGCCGGGGAGACGGGTCTGTCTCACAGCTCAAACACGGCACACTCCACTTGTGCGTCCACGTGTCAGAGCTCAGGTGCACCCCAAGACCGGGCTCCTGC